GCCTTTCTGAAGTGGGCAGGGCCAGGGGGGCGTGTGGCTCTAGGAAACGGGGTGCAGTGAAAGTCACGACCCCACAGTGAGGCTGCGAAGGGCCAGGCGGTGGACTGCCCGCCCCCCTTTCGTGTCGCGCTGTGGTGTGTGCAAAATGAGCGTTCACTCCAGGCTGCATGGACTACGGACACTTAGCTACATTATGGCGTTTGATCCTCAAAGCACCTCACGGGGGGACATTATCCACAGCGAGAAAGCAGCCTCCGCGGGGGTCAAGCAGCTTGCCCAAGGTCATACGGCCAATAAGTAGCAGAGCCTGTTTTTGGACCTCAGAGTCTGTATTTGAAAATAGTGCTCTCACACGGTAGCGTGCTACTACTAACCTAGGATCTGGTTAAAATGTGCATTCTGACTCATTCGGTCTGGGAGGAGGCCGGATCGTAAACTACCGGACACCGCGGATGCTGCTCGTGTAGAGGCCCCGCTCTGAGCAGGAGGCTCCAAGCCGCCGGGCTGTGTTTTCTCCCAGTGCAGTGGTTCTCAACCTTGGCTGCACATGAGAATCACCTGGGAATCTTTTTTAAATCCCGATTTCTGGGCCTCATCCTCCGGAAATTCTGTTTCTTTGTTACTAATGTTGTGGCCCCACCCCATAACAAAGAAACAGAATTTCCCGAGGATGAGGCCCAGAAATCAGGATTTTAAAAAGATTCCCAGGTGATTCAAATGTGCAGCCAAGGTTGAGAACCACTGTCCTAGTGTATCAGCGGCGCCCTGTCAGAGCCATTAACAGCCCACACAGTAGGTGTGCCGAGGGCTGTGGATCTCCACAGGGAAACGTGCAGGGAAACTGGGAGGTTTTGAACTTAGCTATGACTTAACAGCCTCCCAGACCTATGGGGCTGGTAGGAATAACTGAAGGCAAGGGCCTGTGGTCGGCAGGTGGTTTGATGAGTGAGTGAGTGTGCAGGCGAGGGCAGTAAGGCTAGTGGGTACCCCGTGGCCATTCCCTAGGCAGGCGGGAACCTTTTTAGCTTTTGATGGCTGGGGGAGTTGGGAGAGGCGGGCAGAGATGCAATGATCAGACCTGTGTCAATTCTGTCAACAATGTGAAGCAATACTGAGTGGAGCCAAGGAGCCCAGTTAGGAAGAAAGCTAATCCTGCAGTGATTCCAGCAACCAGGAATCACCTCACTGGGGCCTCTTTTGCCTTCTGCCAGCTGTATGTCATGCCTGGAGGTCAGCTTCCAGCCCACCAAACCTCAGCATTTCCATTGCTCAAATAGTATTGGAGTCCCTTCTCCCTTGGACATGACCCTACTCTGCAGAAAGGAGTGATCTTTGGCCATTTCTGCCTATGGAGGAATGAGGTTTTCTCCCTTCTCTTTACCACTCCTCATGTACCAAGTCTTACTCTCCATGTAAGAGAAAGAGCGCCACTTTGGAACTAAATGGCCTTCCTCCACTGCTTCCCAACTGGGTCACCTTGGGCAAGTTACTTAGGCAGTCCAGAGCCAAAGTTTCCTCATCTATAAAACGGGAGTAATTGATCTTTGCATATTTCTTGTGACAATTAAGTGAGATAGGTAACATGCCTGGCCCACAAAAGGTGCTGGACAGAGTTCCCTGTCCTTAGCAGTTGTTATGCAGACAGTTTACGGTATGTTTGTTTAACATTTACAGAGCTCTTTCTCTTTGCCAGGCAGTGTTACATGCAGCAGCGGTCGCCAACCTTTCGGACCTCCCGCGGACCACCGGTTGGCGACCGCTGACTTACAGGGTATGTGGGGTGAGGAATTCCATCCCTGACCCTGAGGAGCTTTTAGTCTGGTGGACAAATGGGTCTAGGTGAGACCGTTACCTGTTTTGATGAAAGTGGATGAGCATATAGGAGGTACAGATCAGAGGGGAACTGTTCCAGAGCAAGTACAGAGTGGCTGAAATGTGAAGTATATACCACTTAATCTCGCCTTATCAAACTAGGTTTTGTGTCTTTTCTGGAAGACAGAAGAGCTTAGTGGTTATGACTTGGGTTTGACACCACCTCCACTTTACCAGTTATTTGATTCTTTGATTCTAGGGAAGCAACTTATCGCTATGAGCTTTAGTTTCCTCATCTATGAAGTAAGGTGAATGTCTACCTCTTTGTGTGGCTGTGAGAACTAGATGAGATGATGTATATAAAGCACTTAGCCCAGAGCTAGGGGTCAGAGTTCCTGAGTTCCCTGGGTTTCCCTAGGTTGCTTTGGAAAATTTAGGTCTTGACTTTATTGAAATGGTATAATTAGCATTTATTGAATTCATAATGTGTCTAGATCAGCCGTGGGCAAACTACGGCCCGTTTGAAATGAATAAAACTAAAAAAAAAAAAGACCGTACTCTTTTATGTAATGATGTTTACTTTGAATTTATATTAGTTCACACAAACACTCCATCCATGCTTTTGTTCCGGCCCTCCGGTCCAGTTTAAGAACCCATTGTGGCCCTCGAGTCAAAAAGTTTGCCCACCCCTGGTCTAGATCAATGTCTGGCATATAGTAGTGCTCAATAAGTATTTATTGGATAAATATGTCTGTGTAGATTGCAAGGAAATATAAAACATGGTCTCAACCCCCCAAATATTCACAAACCAGATGAGCATATCCATTAAAAAGACAAATTGTGGTACAAGTTTATGCATATAGGGAACAGGTGTGACAGAGCTGGAGGAGTGGGAAAGGATTTTCAAAGTATAGCCCTGGAGAGGACCTGGCATTCTGTAGGTAGTATTGGAATATTCTATCAATGAAATCAAATTGTGCAGATCTTTTTCAAGTTAACAGAAAACATTATATAGAATTTTTTCTTAAACTTTTCTCCTATCATTTGTTTTTAAAACCTTGTTACTGGCTACCACTTACCTGCCCTAAATTTACAGTTAGTTGGTATCTATGTGTAGTCCACAAAATTAAATATTTATTGATTTCTAGTTGATCGGTAATTTACGGTGTTCTGCAAAGAGCACCATGGCTCCAAGTTTAGATTAACTGAGTAAAGGAAATGGGAAAATGATTGTGGAGGGGTGGTTTATGTGGTAAGAGGGAGACACCACTGAGAGAGAAGAGAGGTTAGGGCAGCGGTTCTCAACCTGTGGGTCGAGACCCCTTTGGCGGTCGAATGATCCATTCACGGGTCACCTAAGACCATCCTGCATATCAGATATTTACATTACGATTCATAACAGTAGCAACATTACAGTTATGAAGTAGCAACAAAAATAATTTTATGGTTGGGTCACAACATGAGGAACTGTATTTAAAGGGCCAGGAGGTTGAGAACCACTGGGTTAGGGAAATGGGGACTTGGGAAGAGGCTAAGCCTGCCTTTAGGGCTGGGACACTGACAACGTCTAACATATTTATGAAGTCTTGCTGTGAGAGATATGGGTAAGCACAGAAAGTCGATCTTTGTAGTCCAGTGGCACATGGGACAACCCAGCCAGCACCCTTTGGTTTGCTGTGCTGCAAGTGGCCCAATTTGGGAGAAGAGTGGCTGTTTGGGGCAAGGGAGAACGCAAAAGAGCCTGGGCCCTATCCAGTCCCAGGACATAGTAATATTTTACATTTTTGTTGTTTTACACATTTTTCAAAAATATTTTATATGCATTTTTTTGTTTGTTTATATACTACTGCTGTGAGAAAGATAGGATAGGTATTATCTTTGTTTTAGAGTTAATAAATTGACTGGCCCAAGGTCATTCATTCACTTAATTAAATATTAACTGCTATCTATGTGCTGGTATACAAAAATGAATGAAACAGTGGTGTTGCCTGGTAGTAGAGAAAGAAATAATTACTATAGCAGTTTACATATTAATAGAGATGAGCTCACCCTTTTAAATTCAGGAAAGTTCTGGGAAGACTTCTTAGCTGAAGTGATGTCTGAGTTGAGCCTTTGAAGGATCAGAGGGTTTCTGGGCAGAGAAATAATCAGTGTGTGGTATGTAGAAGCATGAAGAAGCCTAGTTTTTGTGAGGAGTTAAAAGCAGTTCAGTCCTACCTGGTTTGGCTCAGTGGATAAAGCATCAGCCTGCGGACTCAAGGGTCCCGGGTTCGAATCTGGTCAAGGGCACATACCCAGCTTGTGGGCTCGACCCCCAATAGAGGGCATGCAGGAGGCAGCCGATCAATGATTCTCTTTCATCGATATTTTTATCTCTTTCTCCCTCTCCCTCTCCCTCTCCTTTCCTTTCTTCTATGAAATCAATAAAAATATATTTTTTAAAAAAAGCAAAAAGCAGTTCAGTGCTGCTGGAGCACACTGCCTCTCAGGGAGTGCCAGAAGATGAAGGTGAGAGAGTTGGCTCATGAAGGGCTTCAGAGGTCATATGCAAGAATTTGGACTCCTGTTGACCGTAATTGAAGGAGAAGGGACCAACAAGCTAGGTTTATATTTCAGTAAAAATTCCTCTAGTGACAGGATAAAAGCTGGGATCATTATGGAGTGAAAAATTAGGTGAAGGGGAGACCAGTTAGTGCAAGTGAGAGATAAGTGAGGAAATACTTACAAGGTAGAATTAACAGCACTCAGTGGCTGGATATGGGGAAGAGGGTAGAAATAAAGGATGATTACTGTGTTTATTACCCAGGACTTAGATTCATGGGTAAAAGGTCTTATTCTTGGAATTAGGAGAAAGATGTGTGAATAGGAAGGAAATGAGTTCATTTGGGGATATTCAAATGAACATACTTGGATGTATTTCAATATGAGTGTCTGAGTTGGATGTACTTGTGGGTCACCAGCACATGGATAGTAGATAAAAGTATAGTAATAAACGAGTTCTCCAAAGGAAGGTGTGTGGGATAAGAAGTGGAGGACTGGGGATAGAAATCTGGGGCTTAGCTAGAAAATCAAACCTACAGTTAGCCTTTTGCAAAAAAACATTTCATATATAAAGTTCATACCCTTGGATCTCCCCTTCAAACTAAATTTTTCTCTAGGGCATGTGATTTGATCCTCTCTAGTCTCATTATAATAGAGTGATTTTTTAAATATTTAATCTTTTTTTTTAAATATAGTTTTTGAATAGATAATACATGCAAATAGGAGGAAATTTAGATGGTACAAAAGAGAATTGAGATATATTTGTAGTTAGCCTGTTGTTTTAGTAACTACTAATTATGCAAATATAAATCAGTATATAAAGACCAACAAAATTGCTTTTAGACCATTTGTGGATGACCTTCCCTCAGAACATCATATCCTGAACATATTCTGGAATATAGATTAGTTTAGGTCTAAAGTTAACTTATCAAAGAAGAAAATATTTTTTTCTTTTCTCAGTCTAGCATTTGGGATTTGGTACTTACACACTTTTTTCCATGAAGAAATTAATAAAACCTTATTTTTAAAAATCTTGGTTCTATTGGTAATGATGTTTGTAGACTTAATGTTGTCTTTTATAGTTGTCAAATTGCTTTAAGAAGACATCTCAAGATCAAGGCTGTTTGTTCAGAATAGCCATATAGAAAGTCCTTTAAAAAAATTTTAGAAGATAAACAAATTATAAATCTGAAATGTAAGAATATAATCTTACATTATATTGACTGACTGATTTTTGTTTTCTTTGGGATTTGATTTTCAGGTTTGCATCGCCAGCTTCTATATGTTACTTCCTTTTTTTTTGTTGGATATTATCTTTTAAAACGTCAAGACTATATGTATGCTGTAAAGGACCATGATATGTTTGCATATATGAAATCACATCCAGAGGATTTTCCTGAAAAAGGTATTTCAAGTTAATTGTAAAAAACCTTTCTTACTTTGCATAATTTCCCCTGGTTAATCTTTTCCATGTCTGTAGCTTTAGGTATCTTCTCTATTCTGTTAACTCCCACATGGTTGTCTATAGACCAGAATTCTCTTGAATTCATGTGTCAGGTTTCTGGCTAAGTACCTCAGACAGCAAATAGACCCTCATGTCCCCACTGCCTGCCCAGACCTTCTGTTCTGTGTCCTACTTCAGTGATGGCACCACTGTCCACCTGTGTATTCTAGCAGAAGCCTGCGAATCATCTTCAAGTCTTTCTCTTTTACTTCCCATCAAGTCTTACTGTTCTGCTTCCTATTTCTCATCTCTGAACTCTCCTCTCTGTCCCACTGCTACTACCCTGGTTCAGACCCTAATAATCTTTTGCTTGAATCATTGCACTTGCCTTCAGTCACCTCTGTTTTTGGTCTTGCTGAAGATCATGTCTTGGGTTAATTGCCTGGTAGAAACACTTTGCCCATACCTTTTATCCACCACATTACTTATACATAGTTGTGTCACTCATTAGACTACAGCTTCATCTTTGAATGTCCCAGCCTCTAGGACAGAGCCAACACATATTAGGCATCTATACTAATAAAAGGGTAATATGCTAATTAGACCAGGAGACTTTCCGGACGTCCTTCCTGACAAAGCAATGGTGGCGGGGCTGAAGCAGAAGCGGTTAGGGGCAATCAGGCCAGGAGGGGAGGGCAGT